AAAAAAAAAAAAAAAAAAAAAAAAAGGCATTGTATCCTCAGGCCGTGACATAAATTATTTCTCATGTCAGTGCGGATGTGAAGCTGTCCCAACCAGGACTTGGTGGACACTCCGTATTGCAGCTCTGTGAGGGAGCTGTGGACAGAGTAAATGCAACACAGTCCCTCGCGCAGAAAAAAAAATGTGGTCTATTGGGGAAAACAAATAGGTAAAGGAAGTTAAGAACAGCGTATACAATAAGATGTCCATTGATACATACATCAGTAAGCACAGCAAGATTACAGAAGGGAGAGAAAAATGGGTAGTAACTTGGCCTCAGTAAAAAAGGAAGTGGGTTGTGCAGCAAGTTTTGCAAAACAAGTGGAAGGAGCCGTACAAGGTCACGCTCGGTAAGAATAAATGTCCCTGGAGTGTTTGGAAGCCACAACGTTTAGAGCCAATCTGGCGGTGACAAACACTTGACGGGCTCAAAACAGTGACAAACGTCCCGTGCCCCGGTCCAGGCCCACGTATTTGCTAACCTCAAGCGCCAGCAACCGCAGGCCAGTGGAACGGCGCTCCGGGCAGGGCGGAGAGGCGGGCCGCGGAGCATGCCGGGGATTGTGGTCTTCTCGGAGCCCGGGCCCGTGCTCGGTGGGGCCGCCTTCCGCCGGTGGCCTTCCTGTGGGTGGGAGAGGGCGGCCGGGAGCCCAATGAGGGAGCAATAACGTGGCAACCACCCACGAGCCCGCGTCGGTGCCCGCCCCGCAGGGGGACCTACTATCCGGCGCCGAGCCGGAGGGGGGAAACGGCGCCCGCCGCCCGCCCGGAGCCGGCGAGCAGCCCCAGTCCCCCCCCGACCCGCGCGTGGCGGCGCCGGCTCCCTAGCCGCCGCGGCCCCACCCTCTTCCGGCCTCGGCTGTCCGGGCCGCGCTTGCCACTGCCTGTGGATGCTGCGCCTCTCTGAACGCAACATGAAGGTGCTCCTTGCCGCCGCCCTCATCGCGGGGTCCGTCTTCTTCCTGCTGCTGCCGGGACCTTCTGCGGCCGATGAGAAGAAGAAGGGGCCCAAAGTCACCGTCAAGGTCCGGTGGAGTCCGCGGCATTTACGGTGCCGGAGCTCGGGCCCGGGCGGCCTTGGCTTGGCCTTGGCTCAGCCCCTCCTCCCTCGGCTTCTGTCTGTGGCCTCGTGGCGTCTGGGCCGTCCTGCCCATTCAGTCCAGAGAACGACCCGGACCCACCCCGACACCCCCAGCCCCTGCCCTGACCCAGGGAGTTAGTTGGATCCGCGGATACCCATCTGGGGCTGGCACTGGCAGCCTCAGGGCAACCTTTTTGCAAACACCCCTCAGTGCTGGGGAGATGGTGAAAGATCACGCCTGCCAGATTCCGAATCCTTTCTCTCCTTTAGCCAAATTTTAGCCACTTCCAATTACAAAGCACAGTATGTAGAGTTCAAACTTAAGTGGTGAACTTAGACTCCCCTCCTTATGGGTTTTTAAATGTTAATTTTTAGAATCTGGGTCCATTAGCTGTTTAGAGCAAATGTTGTTATCCTGTAGTTCAAGGAGGGTGTAGATAAGCATGTTTTCCAAGAAAAGGGTCTAGAGCTTTCATTAGATTCCCAGGATTTTGACCTTCACCAAAATCAGATTCAGAACCACTTCTCTAAAAATATGGCTCTATTCTCTCTCCGATCCTCAGGGTAGCTTCTTGTACCTTCCCTCCCCTACCAACGCCCCTTTAAAGAAGCTAAGTTGGCAATGGTCTCTTTCCTCAGGTGTATTTTGACCTGCGAATTGGAGATGAAGATGTAGGCCGGGTGATCTTTGGTCTCTTCGGAAAGACTGTTCCAAAAACAGTGGATAATTTTGTGGCCTTAGCTACAGGAGAGGTAAGTGGCTGGAGCAGGGGTAGTCAACTCAAATGAAGTGAAGCTGGCACTGGGGATGGCAGCAAACTGACCTGCAGAGTTCAGCCCATCTGTATCGTGGACCTCACTGAGCACCGACTGCCTGTTGCCCTGAGAACACAGTATTGTCCTTTCTTAAGAGTAAGGGGGCCCTGACCAGGCACAGTGGCTCACACTTATAATCCAAGCACTTTTGGAGGCCAAGGTAGAAGGATTGCTTGAGCCCAGGAATTCAAGACCAACCTGGGTAACATAGCAAGACCCTGTCTCTACCCCCCCAGAATTTTTTTTTTTGAGACAGAGTTTCACTCTTGTTGCCCAGGCTGGAGTGCAATGGTGCGGCCTAAGCTCATTGCAACCTCCGCCTCCTGAGTTCAAGTGATTCTCCTGCCTCAGCCTCCCGAGTAGCTGGAATTACAGGCATGCGCCACCACGCCTAGCTAATTTTGTATTTTTAGTAGTGACAGGGTTTCACCATGTTGGCCAGGCTAGTCTCGAACTCCTGACCTCAGGTGATCCGCCTGCCTTGGCCTCCCAAAGTGCTGGGATTAGAGGCGTGAGCCACTGTACCCGGCCAAAAAAAAATTATTTTTAATTAGCTGGGTGTGACGGGGTGCACCTGTGGTCCCAGCTACAGCTACTCAGGAGGCTGAAGTGAAATGGAGGCTGCAGTGAGCCATGATCACACCACTGCACTCCAGCCTGGGCAATACAGTGAGACCCTGTCTCAAAAAAATTTTTTTTAAATAAAAGGCTGGGTGCAGTAACTCACACCTGTAATTCCAGCACTTTGGGAGGCTGAGGCGGGTAGATCACCTGAGGTCAGGAGTTAGAGACCAGCCTGGCCAACATGGCAAAACCTTCTCTCTACTAAAAATACAAAAAATTAGCCAGGCATGGTGGTAGGCGCCTGTAATCCCAGCTACTTGGGAGCCTGAGGCAGGAGAATTGGTTGAACCCAGGAGGTGGAGGTTGCAGTGAGCCAAGATTGCCCACTGCACTCTAGCCTGGGCAACAAGAGGGAACTCCATATCAAAAATAAAAATAAAAAATAAAAAAATAGGCCGGGTGTGGTGGCTCACGCCTGTAATCCCAGCACTTTGGGAGGCTTGAGGGTGGATCACCTGAGGTCAGGAGTTCAAGAGCAGCCTGGGCAACATGGTGAAACCTCATCTCTACTGAAAATACAGAAATTAGCTGGGCATTGTGGTGGCACATGCCTGTAATCCCAGCTACTCAGGAGGCTGAGGCTGGAGAATCGCTTGAACCTGGGAGGCGGAGGTTGCAGTGAGCGGAGATTGTGCCATTGCACTCCAGCCTAGGCGACAAGAGAGAAACTCTGTCTCAAAAAATAAATAAATAAATTTTAAAAATAAGATAAAAAAGAGTAAGGGGTCCAGAGCTTCCTGGGAAGACTTCACCTAGGGTGAGGGTCATGGGTTTTAAGGAAACAACAGTGCCCTATTTCAGTTTATATTAACTTTCCATTGAGCCAGCAGGTGACCTTTCTTCTCAGTTTTCTTGTATCTGTTCTTATGATTGGAAGAAATGAGGGGAAAGGCGTTATGCGATGTAGAATTGTATAAAGCCTGGGAATTGTATGGAGGCAGACGAATTTCCACATCTGTGTGTGCCATGCCTGTCCTATGGTGCCTGCCCACTCACTCAGTAGCACATTGAACAGTGAAAGTGGTCAGCAGTGGTGTCTCTTCTGCGAGCAGGGGTTGTGGGCTTGCTCCTGCGGGGCCTATTAAATGTAATGTCTTCCTGCTGCGCCTCACCACCTCCTTACCTTCTCTTCCCTTTTTCTAGAAAGGATTTGGCTACAAAAACAGCAAATTCCATCGTGTAATCAAGGACTTCATGATCCAGGGCGGAGACTTCACCAGGGGAGATGGCACAGGAGGTAACCACAGGTCCTCTGGGCCAAGGAGTATGTCAGTGTAGCCTCCACGGTGGGGAGACAAGGCCTCTTTCTTCCCCAGCTCTAGAGGCAGTCCTACGTATTACCTACCTACTTGGAGACCAGCGGCACCCTTCTTTGGAGAGGAATCCAGTACAAAGGAGAGGGAATAATGGGGTGGACCTGATGGTAAACCTAAGAGGATCTCTCCCAGGTGGCTGTCCTGTTGATCCAGGCCTATAGCCTGGTGACCTTTCCTGATACCTCTTCAGAATGGGGATTGGGGAGAGAGGCATGTGGAAGCAAAGTGAAGACATGTGGGTACGTGATTCTAGGTCGGGCGCCCAAAGCCTGTCCAGGCTGCCTTGGAAGCCCCAGCGAGAGTGGGAGGGCCAGGCGTGGTGACTCTGTAATCCCAGCACTTTGGGAGGCCAAGGTGGCTGGATCACTTGAGGCCAGGAGTTCAAGACCAGCCTGGCCAACATGTTGAAACCCCATCTCTACTAAAAATACAAAAGATTAGCCGGGCGTGGTGGCAGGCACCTATAATTCCAGTTACTGTGAAGGCTGAGGCAGGAGAATTGCTTGAACCCAGGAGGTGGAGGTTGCAGTGAGCCGAGATCGTGCCACTGCACTCCAGCCTGAGCGACAGAGCGAGACTCCATCTCAAAAAAAAAAAAGAGCGGGAGCAGTTGCTTTCCTTGACAGTCTTTTACCAGAGACCACTCTGTGAGGGCCGACCCTCACCTCGGCATTAACTTGCACAAGGAGGACAGAAAGATCCCCGGACCCCTGCGTGAGTCTCAGTGAGCTCAGGTACAGCCTGCTGCACCCTTAGAACACAGCTCACTCCTCGATGAGTGTCTGTGGGGCTCTGTGTGGGGGGGTTGAGGATGTAAAGACCTATGGGGCAGTGGTTCCCTTTTACTTCCAACAACTGAAAATGTACAAGTGGGCCATGATGCAGCATTTAGGACTTGAGCTCACAAAGGAGACCGAAGAACTGTATTTGTGGGGTCAGACGCAGTTGGGCTGGATCCAGCGTCTGCCACCTTCTTGTTTTGTGACCTCAGGCAAGTGAGTCCTTGAAGCTTCAGTTTCCTGTTCTGTACAGTGAGGGTGGAGAGAGTTGTGGGGCCATGAGGATTGGGCTAGGTCTGGAATGTGAAGTGCCTGGCATGCAGTGAGTGCTTAGTAAGTCAGCCACTGTTGAAGTGCTGACAAGCAGAGGAGTCCTCTCAGGCCAGGGAACAGGGAATGGCCTTGCGGATGTGAGGGAAGATTTCAGTGGGGTCCTGAATGAGGAGAATTTGAATGGGCAGAAAAGAAGCAGGGTTAGGGCATGAGCCCGGTTCTGTTCTGTGGCAGGAGCTTGGCCAAAGGTGGGGTGAGGGCATCTGTACCCGGAGTGCAGAGAGGTGGGTGATGGCCTGCAGCCTGGGCTTCGGCCTGCAGGGAGTCAGGGCCATGGAGCTGAGTAAGAGGATGACCCCTCGCTTGGGGTGCCAGGGGAGTCGTGTGGTGGCAGATCCAGAATGTGGAGGCCAGGGCAGGCAGGCTGCTGGGGGCACTGGTGCAGCTGACCCTGGGCAGGGAGATTTGGGCCTGATCCTGAGGTAGCTGAGAGCAGAGATTCAAGAGCAGACCACCTTGGTCTGAACTCTAGCTCTGCTGCTGCTTTGCTGGGGCTCCTTTTATTCTCTGTGCCTCAGTTTCTTCATCTTTGAAGTGGAGTTAGCTCCTCCTCATACAGTGGATTGTTAAATATGTAAGATGCTTGGAACAGTCTGTGGCACACACTGTTAGCGCCCTAAGCACTCGCCTACTGCAGCGGTGGTCGCGGGAATGGAAAGAAAGAGTAAGTACATGGGAAGTGGCTAGGGACAACCTGAGCCACGTGCAGAGGAAAAGGGATCACAAGAATAACTGAGGTCTGGAGAGAAAGATGACAAGGTATGTTGAGTTTAAATAGAAATGTCCATTTGGGTTTGGAACCCCTGTATCTTGGGAGAGTGGTTGGAGCTAAGGACGGAGATTTGGGGGTTTTCTGGATAACAACTATAATCAAAATGCCACAGTTGGCTCAAATGGGGGAGGCTTTTAGCCAGCACTCCAGCCAGGACTCACTGCACACGTGGCAGAGTTCAGTCTCCCCAGCGTGGGGGTGAGAGGTGGAGCACAGGCACAAGCACCCCTGTCCCCACCAGCCAGAGTCTGGTCATTTTTGGTATTCAGTCATCTTACTTGCTGCCCAGTCAAAAATATCTTCCTGGTTGGCATCGCTCTAGGACAGTTTCCCAGCTCAGTTCCATTCTGTGGAACCACAGGATGAAGGTAGGTGCAGTGAGAAGGAAAACAGGGTTTTGCATGCAAATACGTTTGAAAAGCGTTAGATAAAACAAAATGAAAACGACCCCATTTTCGGCCGAGTTTCTTGGGGCCTAAGGCACAGTGTCAGTCTCCAAGGGGTGACAGGGAAAAAGAAGCGTTTCAGTGTTCCTTCTGGAAGCAGCTTTGGAACTAGGATCTCCGAAACGGCGTAGAGATCACCCCGGATTGCCCTTGTCAAATCCCCAAGCCCCACGTGGACAGATGCTTCACACACACTCACAGCTGTCTTTTATTCCTGTTCATTCCTTGTTAAGAGGCTTTGACTCGTCAGAACCCCAGGGGCAGCCCCTCTTTTCTGCCCCTCCCCACCCATCTCTGGCTGCTTTCTCCTTTGCAGCTATGCCTGTGTCTTTTGTGCTCATAGGAAAACAGGCTGGTCAGCCACAGCAGTCCTCCTTTTCTGGAGAGTTCCAACCCTGTTGACGCCCCTGCATCCTGCACAGCACCTCCCTCCACCAAAGTCCCTCCGCGGCAGGCCTGGGCCACATAGCCAAGGGAAGCTGATAACATGCACTTTATTTAAAAGCCACAAAACTATCCTCTCGAAGTGATCCTTCTGTGAGCTGTCCACCACATCAGCCTGGCCTGATGCCCCACTTGGCCTCAGTCAGCGTGGCTTGGCTCTGAGTCCAGAAGATAGCAAGGGTGCAGCTTTTATGTCCTTGTACTCCACTCAAGCCCAGCCTGGCACAGAGGACAGGTTAAGCCCCATCAGTCCTGGCCCCGAATGTCTGCTTGGTTTGGCCCAATCCAGTGCCTCCGACCTGCTCTTTTTTCCCAGGAAAGAGCATCTATGGTGAGCGCTTCCCCGATGAGAACTTCAAGCTGAAGCACTACGGGCCCGGCTGGGTGAGCATGGCCAACGCAGGTAAAGACACCAACGGCTCCCAGTTCTTCATCACAACAGTCAAGACGGCCTGGCTAGATGGCAAACATGTGGTGTTTGGCAAAGTGCTAGAGGGCATGGTGAGTTCTGGAAGCAAGGGCTACTACTGGGCTGTCCTCACTGGGGATTCAACACAGACCCCAGGGCAGGAGCTCCATGTGTCCATCCCTTTCCCAAAAGAACCTAACCCACAGATGCGGCCCAGTGCTCCTGTCCAGAATAAACCCTGTACCTCCATGCCTCCAACGTTCTACATTCTTCCAGCCCCCTCAGAGCCCAGCCAGGAAACCTTGTTAAGGCTGCACAACTGCCGGAGCCTCCCTCCCCTCATTCACCCAGGGATGTGCTGGTCCCACTCCTGAGGTGTACAGAGTGCAGCTGAACACAATGTCCCTGAGAAGCCACATTTCCTGCTCACCCTCTTCCTCCTCCTTGCCCTTGGCCAAACCTGGGTCTTCAAAGGAATACAATTCCTGCATCCCCTTGTCAAATCTGCATTCTCTCTGCTCTGGCCAGGAGTCCGTTAGAATTTTGGTGCCTCCAGTTTTGTGTGCTGTTGATGACTTGTGGGTCTCAGCCCTCCTGAGTCATATGCTGGGGTCTTTCTCCTGAGCGGTGGACCTCCTGACCCACCGTGCGCTCCCACTTCCACCTTTCTTTTCCAGGAGGTGGTGCGGAAGGTGGAGAGCACCAAGACAGACAGCCGGGATAAACCCCTGAAGGATGTGATCATCGCAGACTGCGGCAAGATCGAGGTGGAGAAGCCCTTTGCCATCGCCAAGGAGTAGGACCCAGGGTCCTCTTTCTTTGAGTGACCGTCTGTGCAGGCCCTGTAGTCTGCCACAGGGCCCTGAGCTGCACTGGCCCCGGTGCTGGCATCTGGTGGAGCGGACCCATTCCCCTCACATTCCACAGGCCCATGGACTCAGTTTTGTAACAGACTCCTACCAACACTGACGAATAAAAAAAAATGTGGGGTTTTTTTTATATATATAATGTGTGGGCCTGGTTCTTGAGCCTGCAGCGCTTCCCCTAGGCCTACATCCCAACATGCCTGCGACTCTGCTGTGCCTGCCCCTTCCCTGGGATCCTGCCTGAAACTTTGACCCAGGAGCTACCCAGGAAAAGTCAGGCAGGAGCTTTTGCCCCCTGCTTCTAAACTTCGCCAGCTACTGGGCCTCCACGTTTGCTCCCCTTGCCACCACCCTCCAGTTTATGTTAAGGAATATACCTGTACTTTTTCATAGCCTACCTCTAAATTGACTTTTTCTTTTTTCATAGAGACAGGTCTCACTATGTTGTGCAGGCTTGTCTGAAACTTCCAGACTCAAGCATCCTCCTGCCTTGGCCTCCCAAAGTGTTGGGATTACAGGCATGAGCCTCTGGACCCAGCTGACTTCTTCCTTTATTATTTATTTATTTATTTTTTGAGACGGAGTTTCGCTCTTGTTGTCCAGGCTGGAGTGCAGTGGCGCAATCTCGGCTCACCACGACTTCTGCCTGCCGGGTTCAAGCGATTTTCCTGCCTCAGCCTCCTGAGTAGCTGGGATTACAGGCATGCACCACCACAATGCCTGGCTAATCTTGTATTTTTAGTAGAGACGGGGTTTCTCCATGGTGGTCAGGCTGGTCTCGAACTCCTGACCTCAGGTGATCCACCCACCTTGGCCCCCAAAGTGCTGGGATTACCTGCGTGAGCCACCGCGCCTGGCTGACTTCTTCCTTTATTACTTATCTTCTTGACCCTGCCTTGGTTCTTGGGCTCTAAGAGCATGCAGATTCTACTACCTCCAGCTACCAATGCAAGCCAAGTTCTGAGCCTTGAGTGGGAATGTAGCACAACTGGACACTGGGTAGTTAAATCCTGGGTCCAGGCCAAGGGAGGACCTAGTCTTATATGGAGTTCATAGGACAGAGGCACATGACTTTCTTAGGAGGCAGCCAAAGGCCTCTGGACTGATCAGGGCATCGGTGGCAGAGGAGCAGGGTGACAGGCCGCCTTTGGCTGGGCTTTATCTGGGCTGATGCTGAAGCTGTAGAGGCCCTGGAGCACACCATTCACCACCACGTTGGGCAACAGCTCTGTGGGATAGAATTAAACAGGTCTGGCCTCAGGCCTGCAGCTCCTTGAGCTCCTGCTCATGGGCTCAGCCCCCACTTGGGAGTAGGAGCCCTTGCCAAGGTAGCAGACAGCAGCTGTCCACCCCAAATGAAGCCTCAGCATTCCCAGGTCACATTCTGTTCATATCAGCTTGGTAAAGAAGTCAGGTTGCTGAGGAAATGGAGACCAGGGAAGCCAAACTTGTTTTCCTTGTGTCTACAAAGCAGGCTCCAGGGAACAGGAGCAGGAGGTAGTGGCTCCAGAGGTGGGCAGCAGGAAGGTGATGCTGCCTGACGGTCCCAGGAGCTGAGAAATGCCAAGCCCATACCCTACCCCTGTAGCCCGGTATCTAGGCACCTCCTCACCTGGGGAGGGGGTGCAAACATAGGGATCCATATGGAAGCTCAGGACAGGCCGCTGGTGCTGCTGGGAGCTGGGAGGAAAGAGGGTCATGAACCATGGGTGCAGGAGGCAGGGCAGAATCCCACAGAGGGGTGGAGACGGGGCTGAGATCACCAGGGACCCATGAAGGAAAAGATGAGTGGGAAATGGGCTCAGGAGGCACCAAAGGGAAAACAGGCTTCAGGGCCCAGGCCAGACAGGCCCAGGGAGCAGGCCCGCCTCCTAGCATACGGCCACTAGGGGGCGGCAGGGGCCAGGCGCGGGCTAGGGCTTTGACTTGCCTGCTCTCGCCAGGCAGGAACTCCCCCAGGGCGCTGAAGAGAAGAGAAACACTGTAAGCTGCCTGGGGATGCCCGGGGAGCGTGAGGAAGGGGTGGAGACACCAGAGCCCAGAACTGCGCCTCCCAGGGGACCACTGCTTCTATTTGTAACAAGCCCCAGTTCCGGAGGTGGCTGGGGTAACCAAAGCTGTCCAAAGAAAAGCCCCTCCACCCAGGTCAAGAAGGCTGGTGACGGTGGTCATGTCAAGCTGGATCCCGGCAGATGTGAGACGAAAGGGCTTGCCCTCCAACACCTTTCCTCACCTGTTCACTGCCGACAGCCCCTGGCCCCCGCCACCGGCCCCCCTTACCCCCAGTTGCTAGCCTTGGGATCTGTGGGGAAGTGCCGAAGTCTCAGGAATTCCAGTAACTCCTTGGGCACCTCCTGGTTCAGGTACAGGATGCCCTGGAGAGGACAGAGGAGACTTGCAATCGGACCCAGCTACTAATTTGCATAGCACAGTGCCAATGAAAACGCAGGGCTCTTTGTTCCAAAAAAAGAATTTCAAGACAATGACAGCAGAGCATTGAACCAGGCTCAGGGCCCTTCTGAGCGCTGGGCCCTGTGTGCACAGGTTGTACCCCATGATGTGGCATAACTTCGCTGTTAGGGGAAGGACCCTCACCCTACATCCCATCAGGAGGGCAGCACAGGACCTCACCCTGGAGGGGACAGGACCTGGCTTTCATGGAGCTGGGACTACCTGTATCCATTACCTCATTCAGTCCTTTCAACAGTCCAGAGGTGGGTGTTTGGACTTATATTACTCTTCAGAAGATTGATGCTTGAGGTGGTGAATAACAACCCCAAGTCGTGGGTTCACTCCCTGCCATGCCCTCACACCTCTCTGGGCCACACCCCTGGCACAGCAGGCTGGGGGGCAACCAAGTGTGCCCTCGCATACCTGGATGTAGGCCTCCAAGCCCTGCCGGCGCTGTTCCAACCCTCTGGTCCTCCAGTTAGGCAGGCGTTTCGAGGGGAAGTCGGGCACTTTGTACAGCTTCTTGATCTACTGGAGGTTTACCGCGTGCAATCACAGCATCCCGACTGAGCCCTCAAGCCCTCTTCGCCCGAGCCGGAAACCCTCCCGCGCCCCCGCCTTCGGGCTGTACCCTGGGACAGACCCTGGTGAGTGGTGGACAGGCGGAGGGCGAGGAAGGCTCCAACCCACCCACAGACGCCCAGGGGCTGACCGGCCTCGCAGGGACTGAGGCAGTAATAGGGGTGGCGGAGGCTGGGGCTGGAGCTCGCCCGCCGGCCTCACAGGGCCTGTGCGGTTGCCGGCGGCGGAGGTGGCGGAGGCTGGGGCTGCTTGTTGTTCACGATCAGTGGGCCCGGACCGCCGGCTGCCGGCTCCATCTTGGCTGCTCCACACCCCCAGGTTGACTCGGGGACAGCCGCCGTGATGCAAGTCTCGCGTGATTTTCTCGAGGAAATGTCCCTGGCCGCCATATTAAGTGTGGCGGCCAGTGTCAGAAGCCATCTTGGTTGACCAACACCTCCCGATATTCTGTCTGCAGTCCTTCCGTTGTTGATCTTTTTAGTTTTCCTCCTAACTTTCAGTTTCAGTTTAGAAGTAATTTTATCTGTGAGGCTTCCCTGAGCTTCTTCAGTTTAGTTACCCCTCCTTCCTCTAAATCGCTTTGCACTTACCACTGATAGCCTTGTTCAAGGCTTAGGCGGAATTTTGTAATGAACAAAATGGATAGGATCCTAGTCTTCACAGAGTTGCAGTTGTGACAAGTGCTAATCATTCAACAAACATTTGATAAATGTCTCCTGTGCACCAAGCAGTGGGATAAAATGATGAACAAGTGTCTGCAGTCATGGTACATAACAGTGCTTGGTGAGTCAGACAAACAATAGACAAATATAGAGAAATAAATGCTAAAAAGTGTTAAAGGAAAATTTGTTCACGGCACTAATTAAAGATGGTAAGGCAGACTTTGTGTAAGAGAGCCCATGGTGATAGTTACAGGGACCACTACAACCAGACCTTGCAGTGAAGAAGAGGAATTAGACTCAACTCTGACTCCAACAAGAAACAGTGGAGATTTATAACCAAAGAGCAGGATGACGGTCAGTGGACGGAAAACTGTCATGCCCGACCGTGTGAAGAGACCACCAAACAGGCTTTGTGTGAGCAACATGGCTGTTTATTTCACCTGGGTGCAGGCGGGCTGAGTCTGAAAAGAGAGTCAGCGAAGGGAGATAAGGGTGGGGTCGTTTTACAGGATTTGGGTAGGTAAAGGAAAATTGCAGTCAAAGGGGGGTTGTTCTCTGGCGGGCAGGAGTGGGAGTCAAAAGCTGCTCAGTGGGGGAGCTTTTTGAGCCAGGATGAGCCAGGCACAAGATAATGTCATCGCTTAAGGCAAGGACCGACCATTTTCACTTCTTTTGGGGTGGAATGTCATCAGTTAAGGCGGGGCAGGGCCTTTTTCACGTTTTTTGTGATTCTTCAGTTACTTCAGGCCATCTGGGCGTATATGTGCAAGTCACAGGGGATGCGATGGCCTGGCTTGGGCTCAGAGGCCTGACAAAAACTACTAAGAGAAACATCAAGGATAAGAAGTTTCTTGCTAAACTGACTTAACAGGATTATTGCTGAAAGCAGGACAGGGTGCTAAGATGTTGAGGGTGGTCAGATACCGAGTGCTGTGGTTTGACTGTGTCCCCCAAATTCCATACGTTGGAAACTCAATCCTAAAGTTCATATGTTGATAGTATTTGGAGGTGGAGCCTTGAAGGGGTAACTAGGATTAGATAAAATCATCAGGGTAGGGCCCCTGTGATGGGACTGGTGGCTTTATAAGAAG